GTACTATTATATAACCCAATACTACTTGGTCCGCGTCAGCAATATTGTCGCTTATCTTTCGACAATTTGAACTTAGACTTTGGACATGAACGCGTGCACTTGAAGTGATAAAACTTGGTACGATGGACGGTAAGGTATAGAATGACAACTACCTGCGAGGAATTTATTGTCCAAGGAAGGGTTCCTACTTTTTTCGGTCCTCCTCGTCGCTGGTCTCGTCGATGGCGACAAATATTTTTGCTCGGGATCGACTCTCTTGCTTTTGCAAGCTCATCTCTCTTCCTCTCCGCTGCCTGGCTATTCTCTAAAGAGAAGTCGATCGTGGCGGTCGCCTTCTCTATAGGACTTCGCGTGGGCAGCACGACAGCCTGTATGGTTCAAATCAGATGCCATTTTTTGCAAGGTTTTATTTTGAACGATGACGACGCGTACAGTACTTGCAAATCTCCACGATGCGCTGGACACTCCGAGCGTTGAGCTGGAGGTAAGGGAGCTGCGATCTCAGCTTGATGAGCGATCCCTGAGGTGAGCGATCTCGGCCGTTCAGCAAAATGGAGCTGATTCCGAGTAGCCGATTACTTTCTTGTGGCTTGTGCTGCTCTTGCCTGCACAGCATAAAAAGATAATCTATTTTGATGCGGCGCTGTATCAATCAGAATCGTCCACCTGTCGCTCTTTAAATCCAATCGAACTCTAGCTAGACCTTTCAGGTACTAGCAAACTAACTTGCTAACCAAAATTGGGATGAAATGGGCTGCCAAGTAAGCATTGGCGACATATAAACAAAGCTGAAAGGTAAGCGACAATATCGCTGACGCGGACCAAGTAGTACAGTACTAGTATCAGACGAGAAAGCTTGGAAGCTCAGGGCCCTACGCTATGCTTTTTTGCCTTGATGACCTAGACAAAAAAAAGCATAGGGATGTTATAAATTCTTTGAAAAATTCCTTTTGTTTAAGACATAACCTGGGATTCGAACCCGCACTATCGCGCCCTGCATGCATCCTCGATACACTTCGCATACATACTAATTCTTCCAAGTTGCTTCACATTATGATCTTGCTTTTGAAAGCCCTATTTGAATATGCATTGTGGCCAGCCGTCTTTGATGGTACGGTACGGTAGGGATAGGTACGGGACAGGTACGATCGAGGGTAATACGACACCCTCTCCCGTACCATACCATCAAACACAGCTGGCCACATACAGCTGCCCGCAATATTCAAATAGGGCTTTCAAACGCAAGATCATAACGTGAAGCAACTTGGAAGAATGGGTATGAATGCGAAGTGTATGGGGGAATGCATGTAGGGCGATAGTGCGGGTTCGAATCCCAGGTTATGCCTGAAAAAATAGGAGAATTGAAAAATTTATACTATCCCTATGATTTTTTGCCGTCAGATACGGGATAGCGCCAGGCGTGACACAAACAAACACACAAATACCAAACGAGAGAGCTTGGAAGCTCAGGGCCCTACGCTATGCTTTTTTGTCTGGTCATCATGCATGTGACGTGCCAAAGCCGTGTGAACCCTGGCTAGCGCCAAACGATACTGAAGTAACGTCTGTTGCACTACTACGGCGTTAATATTTTTTTGTGTATTTTTAATTTTTAATTTTTTTGTTACGTTTCCTGTGAACGGTAGGCGTATGCGGATAGTGCCGGCAGAAAAATTGGCAAATTCGGTACTTTTTTGGTAAGTTTCCTGCATGTTTGGTATGTGGATAAAGAAATGGAGCAGAATTCGAGGAATTGCCCGCCATAGGTTTGTATGGTTCTGCCAATTTCACTGCTTTTCGAGCAGAATCTGCCACCTTTTCGAGCATTATCCGCACACCCCTAGTGACCGGCGCTGACTCTGCCGATCACGGGCGTTCTGGAGTCGACGCGATGTCTGTCCTGCCGTTTCCTGTGACCGGGGCTGACTCTGCCGATCACGAATGTTCTGGAGTCGACGGGATCTCTCTTCCGACGTTTCCTGTTACCGGCGCTGACTCTGCCGATCACGGACGTTCTGGAGTCGACGGGATCTCTCTTCCGACGTTTCCTGTGACTGGCGCTGACTCGCCCGTTCAGGATTATTTTGGAGACGACGGGATCTCTCTTCCAAAGGTTGTTTTAGCTGACGCATCATGTCACATATTCGGCAACTAACGTCCATTCTTATTGCATTTCTTCATCTCCCTACTTCGTATTTCTTTCAAGAAAATCTCCCTAGACAGCACGGAGTCGTTTACATAATACGACTCCCTGCTATACATCTATATACGTTATAATTATTATGCTATCGGCCTACATGCGATTCCCGGGCTGGTCGACAGGCGGCCCAGCCAGCCTGCTAGTGGGATCTCGGCCTCGCACACAAATCCACACAAAATGTTACTGCACTGAATGCATTCCCCCGATACACTCCGCATATATACTCATTCTCTTGATTGTACCGTATTCTTGATGGTACGGGACAGGTACAGGATAGCGTCAGGCATGCCGATGGCACAAACAAACCAAAATATATTGTGGCCAGCTGTCTTGGCTGGTACGGTACGGTACGGTACGGGACAGATACGGGATAGCGCCAGGCGTGACACAAACAAACAAACAAACAAACAAACACCAAACGAGAGAGCTTGGAAGCTCAGGGCCCTGCGCTATGCTTTGTTGCCTAGCTCATCGTGCATGTTGTTAGAACTGATGGAAATGCTTTTTCCTTTGATTAGCTTCATCATTGTATTGCAAAAACGTTTCAATGAGATACTGAAGTAACGTCTTCTGCATAGCTATGGGACCGGCGCTGACTCTGCCGATCACGGGCGTTCTGCAGTTGACGAGATGTCTGTCCTGATGACGTTTCCTGGGACCGGCGCTGACTCTGCCGATCACGGGCGTTTATCTTCTTATTATTATACTGGCGACAACCAACATCCATTCTGATTGCATTTACTCGTCTCCCTACTTCGTATTTCTTTCCAGAAAATCTCCCCATACAGCAGGGAGTCGTTTACATAATATGAGTCCCTGCTATACATCTACATGACTGTATAATTAAACGTTATAGTTATTATGCTATCCGCCTACATGCGATTCCCGGGCAGGTCGACAGGCGGCCCAGCCAGCCTGTTAATGGGATCTCGGCCTCGCACACAAATCCACACAAAATGTTACTGCACTGAATGCATTCCCCCGATACACTTCGCATATACTAATGTCTTATTCTCTTGATGGTACCGTACTCTTGATGGTACGGGACAGGTACGGGATAGCGCCAGGCATGTCGATGGCACAAACACACAAAAATATTGTGGCCAGCTGTCTTTGCTGGTACGGTACAGTACGGGACAGATACGGGATAGCGCTAGGCGTGACACAAACAAACAAACAAACAAACAAACACCAAATTAAAGCTGTGTGGACCCTGGCTAGCGCCAGACGTTACTGAAGTAACGTCTGCTGCATAGCTACGGGAATTAAAGCTGTGTGGACCCTGGCTAGCGACAGACGTTACTGAAGTAACGTCTTCTGCATAGCTACGGGAATAAACCTTGTTATAGTTCACACAGGCTTGGTGTGAGAGGTGGACTGAGACTTGACGGCGCTAACGGCGAATATCAAGACCTTACGGCCACGGAGCTGCGGGACTCTGCGCTGGTCGTCTATCCGTGTGGAGGCAAAGCAAACGCGGGCAACATTCTGCTGAAGCGAGCGTGGAGCTGAAGCTGGATTGGTGACTGACGCACCTGCTTACTCCACAACACCGGCGCATAATGATGTGCATGTACAAGACTTCGTGAGTATTCAACTCAAATTCGTGTTCCGTCAGCGTCAGTATCAGCAAGTACAGTCATGTAGTACAATTTGTTCCCAAAATAACTTCGGGACAGTCTGTTCATGGTTTTCATTTGTATTGGACTCGTTCTCTACACTTGCGATAATTTAGCGGCAATTCTAACGTTGTAGCGTTGTTCTCTTGTAATTTAGTGGAACCTGTATTGAGTAACTGAGTTTTATGTTTCGTTACATTGTCGTCAGATCTCCTGTGTACCGGTTTTGTGGCACAATGATTATAGCCATTATATTTGGTCGTCTCCATTCTTGTGCAATCATGCGTACATGTATGTAGGTTGGTTCTCTTCATGTTATTGTGACCAATTTCATAGATGTTGGTTGCCTTGTTGCTTTCTCTCCCCTCTCCTCTCACCCAAGCCATTCTGCATAAGCGAAGCTGTGGACGCAGCATACTGCTGCTACACTTCAACGCGGGAATGCGTATAATAATAATAATAATATAGTTCACACATGTTGTTAGTTTGACAGCATGAAACAAGGTGGAGGACACAACACCCAGCTGGAGAAACTAAAGAAGTCAGTTACGACTGCCCTTGAAGCTGAGAAGTTGTGTGAGCTCAGTCTGTGCGAACGGCAGGTTCATTATCCAAACAAATGGCAAAATAAAAAGTTGCCAGAAGAATAACCTCTACAAATAACCACTTGTGTTATACACACATATCAACTACCTATCAGCATTTCAAAGAATATTCTGTTTCTGAAAACAATCGTTTCAATGCTCGACCTTATTATAATGATGATAAACTGAACACAATTCAAGAATACTATAACTCAACACATAAGAGATTGGAACTCAGATGGTGAGCCAAGAAAAAATTGTAACATGGAAAAATGTGGGCACAAGGCACTTTCATGCTGTGGAATGTCTCTGTGCTCCTTGTCAGTTTTGCGCACGTCTAACTGTTCAAAATCTGGCTTAGTTGGTGGACTCAATCGCATAACTTGTGTCCACATTTGTCCATGTTACATAAGTGATATGAATGTTATCTAATCTGGCACTCAATGTGTGACATTTTGTGTGTTATTTTGCAATATCACGCGACTCAATATCACATCAGACTAATTATACCAAAGTTCCGTTCGTTTCTCTGCAGGGAGGATGGGAGTTGAAAAATCCACAGCTGATGCAAACCGGATTTTTAATGTATGATGTATATGTGTTTTTTTTCTGCACCCTACTAGGTTCATCGTTAGCTACCCCACAGCTGAGTGCCATACTGGTCATGACGTAACTACAGAAACAGGAAAACTTGCCGGGGAGCTGAGCCAAAGGCAAGGTAAGAAACTAAGAATCACTCCTGGACATCTGAGGTTTCATGCAAACGGTGATAACGGCACACGCGCGATGACTTTGTTTTGTAGGCTCTGTTGAGAAGCGACACTCCAACGCGTTCACCTGTGACCACCACGGCACAATGTATAGTGCGACAAGGCTGGTGTGATATTCAGTGCTGAGAATGTGGCCGCGGTCCGAGCAACAAACAACACCTTTGTGCAGTTGACAAGATCCTTGTTCACCCTTGACCATTCCTGGAGCAATATAAATCTAAATCTGCAAAAACAAACTCTCTCTACAGCTACTTGTTTTCTCCTGCAACCTTCTCCGGGACTGTGCTGCTTTTTAGAACTCCTGTCATGTCCAGCAAAATCCAGCCTTATCATGCTCAACTAGGGTCAGTACCATACAGTTGTTGCCCACAGGGACAGTTGTCTGTGTACTGCTGCGGGGTACTGATGTTTTATTTGGCTGGATTTCATCAACAACGACTACTTTACCATTCAAATGGTTGGTTGTTACCTGTGATCTCTGTGTTCTCTTTGTAGAACTTTATACCTGTGCATGGCCATGATCCCATGTACAAACAGCCCCAGAGGGTACCCATGCGTGCTGTCAGCTTACTTATCTGGGACCAGCGTGTGGCGCACGGCAGTCGGCCCAACAACAGCACGCGAGCAAGGTACGTCAGAACACTGCTACGTATATGAGTATTCGTGTGCGTGTGTGTATGAGTGTGCGCTCGTGTGTGTGTGTGTCCGTATTTGTTTTAAAGTTTGATGCAGTGGTTTGTACTAGGTGCTTTCCCGCCTACTCAGTTCTCACCAACCAGACTGATATCTATGATAAAGCTCTGCTCTACGGTACATGAGTAGACGATGCTCTCCGGACATCTAGCAGCATCTAGACCCTCCTGGAATACGGAGAACTTAATTATGGGCTGCTTATCGCTATAGGCTACTGACATGTATTGTACTATGGTACTTGAAGTCTTGAATAGTAGTCGTTGGTGGGAAAGGATCATCCCTCTAGGCTATGTGTGGGTTCGTGTTATGACAAGTTCTTGTGGGCCTACAATGTCCCCTGCAGGTATGTTCAATTTGTAAAGATGTTCCCATCCATCAACCTCCGCTCAGAACGAGCTAAGAATCGTGGACAGCTTATCAAGGACAAGGTATGTTGCGGGTGCTCCGCCGGCTGATGTGACCAGTAATGGATGTGTCTGTCCTGCTGCTAAGTATACGAGATCTCGTAGTCCTTAGGCTGTTGTGTTGTCCTGCTGCTGCCTAGCGGATCATGTGATTGTTTGCTTCCCTGTGTGTGCTCTGGGTACTGCCCCTCGCATTGTTTCCTGTAGCTGTGTGCCTATTGTGCTGTTGTCTGTGTTCTTGTATTCACATGCCGGATACCCTTGCATTCATGTATCCACATCATCCGGGTGACGTCACATGCCTATTATAGTGCCAGTGGTGTAGCGATGTGCTAGTATTGTTTTCCTGTGTGATGACATTCCCCAAACGGTCTCCTGTCTCGCATGCGCTCGTGTGATATGAGCATGCATGATTCGTGAGTCTTCAGTCAGCGAGTCTTTATACACACATGCAACACAGTGTTATCTCTGTGTTAACACGGTGTACTTGTAGGTTGAACTAGCTGGTGTCGACTTGACTGACCTGGGCAAGAAGCTGTTTGCCCTCAAGGCATGGGCATCCGCGGACACGAAAGTGCCCCGCGCCAAGGCTAAAAGACATAGACTACATGTTCGCATGGCTCTTTGTACATTCACAGTTGAGTGGCTCGTTTTATGTGTATGTTTAAATCATGTACACCCTCTGTCCCTAGTGTTTCAAGTGCATACTGACGCTAACCTCCAATGTTATATCCTAAGTATCAGATCTGCACTATCGCACATAAAACTGGTGTATATCTCTTTACTGTGTTGACTCACTACCCTACTAGCCACAGTCATATTTATATCAACAATAACGTGGGCACCGCATTATTTTTTGTTTAGGAGCTGCCGGTACACCGGTAGCATGGGTCACGCTAGTGCAAAATAGGCTAGACTACATGCAGCCGCGATCCAGGCACTATTCCATCCAAGAAATAGTGGGAGTAGCTATCCTGATGCCTTGCAACATGTCCAAACGACTTCAACTTGATGCTTGGTAATAAAACTAATTATGGACCTTGCTCTTTAAAAAAAATAGTTCAATACTCGTAAAATGAGTGCCAATGGGCAAAGGTCTGGTGCTGCACTGAGAACACATGAGTGGTGACATCTCGTACTGCAATAGGAACTACCATAAAGTACCGCCAGAGCGCCCCGTCTCGCGAGAGCGCCCACCTTGATTTTACAGCCAAGGGAAGAAAATCGTATGGCAGAATGCTACTAAGTTTGTACGATTCGAGAACCTTCGTGTATAGTCCTAGGGCCCATTTGAAATTTCTCACTTTTACTTGACACATGTTTGCTAACATGGATTTTATGATCATTCCTGGATGGTTTTTGCCTCCTGAACACGATGGCATAGGTTTCGATTGCCGAATTGTGTCCGAACATGGTGAAAAACATCAAAATAGAAAAAGGCCGTTATTACCATGGCAACCTAACTAGAATTGCTCCTATATCCATTTTTACTGACATGTATATGGCCAAGTAGCACCTCATTTTGCTCAGAATAAGCAGTAGATACAGTACGGCGACAAGTACTGTACTTTCACAGTGTCAAAACAAAATTTCCAAAGTGCGGTGAAACTTGGTTATTGGACATGTACATGTACATTACATGTCGCGTCGAATGTTAGCATTGAGGCACGTGTACATGTACATAGTATGTGCAGCTAGCAGGTACATGAGACTATTTACAGGCATGCATTACTATAATTATCAGACTTCAAACACGAGAGAAGCGTCAGACGGTTCGGCGTTACACTTCAACTGAGAGAATAGGTATTGTAACCCAAGTACTAACAGGAGAAGGAAAAGGTGGTAGGAAACTGTCAGAGTCTAAGGAAAGAAGTGCTATAGGACAGTTTCAACCTGAACTAATTTACTCGAAGTACGTGTAGACAATACGATAGATCTCGCAGCAATGTAAGAAGGACAACACTATTTGTATGCGATGGCAGTGCTGTAACGAAAAAATGATGAAAATGAAAATACCAAAATCCTTTGCATACTAGTAGATATTAAAACAGTACAAACACTGGCTAGCTTGCCACTATACTTAAATGCTTTGAAAAGACTTCAAGGCTGCAGTTGGACAGCGCTCACAGGTGAATAGCTGCAGGTTGATCCCAACATTGTGATGCGAATACTTTCGCTTCCATGTGTTTCACTTTAACTGAAGTTGTTCTTCCGTCTGAGCTTTGGAAACTCTACGCCGTACAGCTGAGCCCATCTCTACTCCGCCATCTACACCATCACTGTTGGCTCTGCAGTCAGGGACAATTCTTTAGCCACTAGTACATGAGGTATTATATGAACATGTTTTCCCTCTTCACCGCCGCTCTTGAATCGCATCAACTACGTGCCGTGATCAGTTCAGGAGAGACAAGCCATGACATTGGACATCGGACTCTTTCTTGCAGTTAGTGTTTTATAAGTATAACGGTAGTTTCACACTGCCTAGTCCCAGCCATCAAATTCTGTGACAAGGAAATGATTCTTCTACTGCTGGTGTTGCATATTGGGATAGGTTACCTCCAGGTACTCGGATTTCGTTTTTGTAACACTCCACACCACATAGCTACTCCCTCTCACTGCAGCATGGCACTCCTTAGGCCTCGGTCACACTACGGCAAAAATGCTGCGTCAGCGTCAGAATCATGAGCTTTTCCATGGCAACTGACGCAACGCGGGAAGTTTGAGCGTCAGACGCTGCTGCGTCTGACGTGGGGAAATCGGCTGCGTTGCCGCTGATGGGAGTGACGCTTGGCGGAAAAACAGTGTCTTTCAAGTAAAATTAGTTTCAAGACACTTTGCTTGAGTTGAGCAGTTATTCGACATTCGTCTGTTCAAGGTTTGTTTTGTTCCCTCTTTTTGTTCGAGATGAGTCCGTGGACCTACGAGGCCGAGGCTCCTCTGCTCCGAACCTGGCGGAAGAGCGAGGCGTTTTCTGAGAAGAAAATGATGTCGAGAAAGGACCAGTTGTTTGAGTGGGTCATCGGCCAACTGGAGCCTGTTGACTTGTGAGTGTTGTGTTGTCGTCAAGAGCCCCAAAAAGGACAACCAGTATGACGAAGTCAGGAGAAACACAGCTGCGATGCGGACTTTTCTTGCCTGATCAATGACACTACAACTGAAAATGGCTTCAAATTCGGAAAGAAACAACAACGATCGTGCACGCGTGGACCTACAGTCCATTCAGAAAAAAATGAACTTCTAGCTTTTGGCCATAAATGGGTCAAACGTTGAGTTTTTTTAGAATTATTTTCTGCAATCCCATATGGAATCCTCTTCCAATTATGTTTCTGAAGTTTTTTTGTCCAAAAAGCAAGCCATAGCAAGAATAGGATTTCGGCCAGGTTTTGCCCCAAAAGCACTGAATTGGGAAAAACCATCAAAATCCAGGCCGTTTGACCCCGCCTGCAACAGTGCATTCTGCGGTTCGAACCCCAGTTCAGGCACCCTTTTTGGACCCTTTTTCAAATTTCAAAGTTCGCAGCACTGCACTGTGTACGATGAAATCACGAAAAATCGCCAAATACGGGAGCTCGCCAGAGCCAGGACCCATCTTTTTATGAATGGACTGTAGTACCTTTCGTCTTCTTGTAATCAAAAATCAATGAAAAATTCGAAAACTTTGTCCGACAATTTTTTTGTATAATAAGCAAAAGGCCGGTTTCCGTGGGAATCCGTGTCGTCATTGAGTTTTCCTGGTGGTTTTGTGACGTAGACAAATGCGTCAAGCCGCGGCAGTCATGAGCTGCAAAAAAAACAAAACACTGTGTGACCCCGCGTCTCCGGCAAGTGCTGCGGCTTGACGCTGCGTCCAGCTTCAAACTGCCGTAGTGTGACCGAGGCCTTAGGCAGTTGTCCTAGAGCTGTTGAGCTGGTAAATAGGCTTTGTGCAAATGGTAGCTGATCACCACGGTCGGTGTGTTCAAATCATGGTACTAACACTAGCCGCTCTTGTAGATTCGAATCAAATGCTCGTCCACTGTAACACCTCCTGTGCAGCAGTACTCACAAAGTAAATGCCTTCATTCCAGCCCGATGAAGTTAGCCAGGTCTGAAACGTTCCACGGTTGTAGATTAGTCCTATGAATAGTTACAACTGGCTTGGCAAGCTATGATGACTTTCCCCTGCTTTCCACACATAATTGTTGTGCTGCTCCTTGTTGGAATCATGCCTACTTTTCCGGGGAGCCAAGATTACATTATAATGAAGGTTCTGCTGAATTTAGCATCGATCCATTCGTGGACGTTCCGACAGCAAAAGCGCCAGCGAGTCAATGCAAAACTTTGAAGAAAGTGTCCAAACGAGGTAACACATTTCTGGTATGTCACAACTACACGACTTGATGTTCAATCTTTCCAACTCTCGCACAAAATCAGTGTACGCGTCGGTTCGCATCCTGTGTATGTACGGTGTTACTATAGCTCCTGGCACATAAAAGGGTAAAAACTCCCAGGTCCAGTCAATATAGTACCGAGAAAGTCTTGAAAATGCTTGAATATAGCCGATGAGAACTTAGTTTTTTCGGCAATTTGTATTCCTATCGAGGGTGATTTCGGGACCTTTGGACGCGATTGGACACGCCATACTGGGCCAAGATACTCTTGAAGACATTATCTATCAAATAACACCGAAAAATCCTTGTTAGCCAACATGTGTCAAGGCATGTATTTTAGAGGTCGATTTTTTGAATTGGCCCTAGTACTAGTACTAAGGTCACACTTGGTATGCTTTTATGTGGAGCTCGAAGGTAAACTGGGTATGGATTGACTGCACAATGTGCAATTTTTGTACAAGGTCCGTGTCGTATGGCCTACAGACAGGAATCCACCTCCACAAGGCGGCCACGAAAGGACGAGATGGTGGGGCGCTCTGGCGGTACTTTACGGTACTTGTATCACGACTAAACATCTTGGTCGTGTTGTTTGATTGCTGCGTCCATCAACTCAATGCACACATTGGTGGCTTGCCGCGCCAAGCGGCTGACTGCGTGGAAGTTGAGGAAGCCATGGGATATTCCGTCGAATGGGCGTAGTGTCACATCCTTGCCGAGTGCGTGCAGACGACCCGCCATGACGATGAAATCATCCAAGAGTGGGTCAAGTGAACTTGGCTGAAAGGTACAAAAGAACGGAGAGAAAGAGAGAGAGTGTGTGTGTGTGTGAGAGAGAGAGAGAGAGAGAGAGAGAGAGTGTGTGTGTGTGTGAGAGAGAGAGAGAGAGAGAAAGAGAGAGAGAGAGACATGCACACACATGCACACACACACACACACCTGTACTTGTTGCTCACTGCCAAAACTGGTCACGTGGGTCTCCCCGGGAGAGAGGAGAGAGACTCAAAAGGAATCTTGGAGAGATGACTCAATTGGTTATTGAACCGCCCAATGGCCGACACCCCGTGAAATCCCCAAAACTCTGGGTGGACTTGAAAACGATCCCACTTATGGGCTCACCACACCTCAGTAAGTGGGTGAGGACAAGGTGCAGAAAAAGGATTGACGGCATCAGGGTATCCGTCCTGGGATCCAACTGCAGTTACCCCTGCCCCCAGTGATCTGATTTAGACATCACTAGCACCATCGCTTACACAAGAGTTAATTTAGCCAGAAGCAGTCCATGGTTAACAGGTATGTATACTTCAAATAGAAAGTATATGAACCCTGGAACCAACAAAGGTGGCAAATACAACATTACACCTTCAAGCAGCCGAGCCCGTTGGCAACATACCCAACACAATCAGGCATAAGTGTACCCACCAACTGAACTAGCTGGCACACACACACACACACACACAGAGTAAGAGATGACCCATAGCACGAAGAAATCTATCGGCAAAGAAAAATTGCTTTCTTACTTGAACACCCACAAAGGAGCACAATAATGTAGCATGTTGAGATGTTCTTGTACTCAAAGAGGCCGATAAGAAGTACGGCTGAGCGTCGGGCAACTTCCACTAGACAGCAGGGGTCCTTCTGCAATGGAGGTTGCTGTCATGGAAGTTCTATCAGCTCATACTGCACACTACTCTCTGTGGAAGGGGTGCTAGTAACCCACCTTCCCATTCCTAGCAGGGTCCAGCACATACATGTAGATGATCTATAATTATGTGCTTACCAAGGTGCTCTGTGCACACTTCACATGACTGACTATTAGAGAGAGGTTAAGCTGCACGTTATTTCTGACGTGATGCGCAATATCACGTCAAATTAGGCGTAAACCTCCAAATTTCGACGTGAGCTGCAGGTCACTCACATTGTTTTCCAATGCGCGAGCTGAACTTTCGTGTCACGTAAAGCTTAACCTCTCTATTAACACCAAGGGTGCGTTTGGTTGGTACGATCTAGAACAGGATCGAACAGCTGGTGCACATGGAGCAGCCTCATGCCAACCAAACGGTACTCCAGAAACAGAGCACATTCTTGTGGAAAAATGTGCCAAACTTGGTGCATTCTTCAAAATGTGTATGGGTCACCATGGTCACTTTGTACGGTACGACGAATCCAACCCAAAAGCATATGCACGTGATCATCTGGGACCAAAATCGATGTTCCCGCCAGGTTTCACTGTGAAAAAGTGAAACTGCTCGGTCTGCTCCGGCCCCGATGCCGGAGCAAGCAGAACATGTTCTGGCCGACCCAGAACAGGTGCAGTCCCAACCAAACGCGCTGTTCTGGTGAATCCTGTTCTAGTTCGTACCAACCAAACGCGTCCCAAGAGTACATAACCCCCCAGAGTGTGCAACTCCACTATGGGTGCTGTCCCGACAGAATTTCAAGTTGACGTCATTTTGATGATGCAATGCGCACTTTACACGGATTATCAGACGAATCCGGAACCTGTGGTTGACCGAAGCCGATCGATCCTGTACAAATTATTGCAAAGAAAAACGTGTGATGCGTTGACACCCGTACACACGTTGTAAATCACTGGTGCAAGGAGCATTGCGTCATAAATAATGACGTCAACTTGAAATTCTGTCGGGACAGCAGGGTATGTGGGAGTTGCACACTCTGGGGGTTATGTACTCTTGTTAACACCCCTTCCCAGACACGCAATATGTCTCAGGCACAATCGATTTTCTCTGGAACTCACATGGCCAGCTACTCATTACACACAAACTAGCTGCTCCATACATAGCTAACGGTAATGCTAACGGCACAGTCAGACCTCGCTTAACCGCACACATCCGTTTTCCACAAAAATATCCGGATAGGTGAGGGGACTGGATAACCGAACACCAGTTACATTGGATGCATCACGTATGCTGCAAATCTGTAGCCAGCTATTTTCTTCCGGGTCGCGAGGGATCCGGATAAGCGAGGTCTGACTGTACATCACACCCAGACCCAGAGCTACAGGCCAGGGCCTGTCACAACATTGCTGACCTCTGACTCTGTGGCTCCAGTAGATCCTGTGAAGTACGTACATGTGCATGTATTTCAGAATTAGGTTGTTTACATGCTCATCATGTCACATGTAGAGACTACACAGTCTCCTTTTTGGTGAAACACACTTCCAACATTGCACATGTTGTAAGGTTGCCTAACTTAGTTACATGTACATGACTATTGCATCTAGTCACAATTCACACACCTACGTGTGGTATAGCAGTGCTTGGGTTTTCCGGGGCATCGGAAAGGTTCCTTCTCGAAAGACTTTTGGACAGGGGTGTATTTGCGGACAGTTCCTGATCGATAGGCCAGTTTGTCAATACTATAAGTACGGAATTAGCACTCCTCAGCTACTGGTATGTGAATGCATAGCTCATACCGTACTGCCATGTGTGCTATAGTGGCTTACCAGCAATGCAATCGATGGTAAGCTGTGCAGCATCTCATCACTTGCCACCAGTGTAGAGAGGTAGGCCGGCGAAGCATTCAGGATGGTGGCATGACGTTGGTGGATGCCCGACTGCAGCTGTGACAGGTGACGAGTGTTCGGGTGATAATCTGGCGTGCTGGACAGGACAAGAGAAGAACACCATGAACTGGTACAGAGCAATCAGCGTTGCTGAGTACATCCACAGCATAGCCTAGCAGTGCGAGCACAGAGAGACTGAGAGAGTGGATTCCGATGACTTTAAGGAGACTATAGCAAGGGCAAAGGCAAGTCACACGGTCCACGTCCACCAAACACCTGCCTCTAGTCACAGAGCTCTCTGTCCTCATCCATCACCAACGTTGCATCAGATAAATAAAGCAGGGCAAAGGAAGCGACGCAGTTTTGTTTCAATTCCAGGTGATGAAAATCAAAGCTCGAGGTGATGAAAATCAAAGCTTGAGCTGATGTGCACACAGTACCCAGAAAGTGACAAAACCATACAATGCTGCTCAATGAAATCCGGTTGTGCACAGCATACACAGCTACCCAGAAAGTGACAAAATCACAGCTACCCAGAAAGTGACAAAATCACAGCTACCCAGAAAGTGACAAAATCACAGCTAACCAGAAAGTGACAAAATCACAGCTAACCAGAAAGTGACAAAGTCACAGCAAAGCACTTTAAAGTACAGTGCTGCTCAATGAAATCCGGTCGCGTGAGTCAAGTTTGCGCCTTGCACCATTTCGCAGCCCAGTGTTCGCAGGTCTAGGGCTGCGCAACGCCCGGCACGTACTTGAGTGACGCGACTGGATGTCATGGAGCAGCACTGTACTGTAAAGAGAGAAATTTTCGCTAGAGAATATATTTCGCTATTTTCGCGACCATCACACATTCGCAAATATAAATCGTCGCACACTGCTCTGTACATTGACTGTAGACAGTACAAGATCCAAATGAAGAGATAAAATCGCAAAAGTTTCTGGTCGTGAACGAGCACAATTCTTGAAAACGCGGACTTTGCACGCCGCAAAAATGTATCGCTTTACAGTATATGGGGCCAAATGAAAACCTGGTGCACATCCGTGTTACACACATGATACAGTATCTTTTTATTCCCGTAGCTATGCAGAAGACGTTACTTCAGTAACGTCTGGCGCTAGCCAGGGTCCACACAGCTTTAATTTGGTGTTTGTGTGTTTGTGTCACGCCCGGCGCTATCCCGTATCTGTCCCGTACCGTACCGTACCATCAAACACAGCTGGCCACATACAGCTGGGCGCAATATTCAAATAGGGCTTTCAAACGCAAGATCATAACGTGAAGCAACTTGGTAGAATGAGTATGAATGCGAAGTGTATGGGGGAATGCATGTATGGCGATAGTGCGGGTTCTAATCCCAGGTTATAATATGCTAAAAAAATAGGAAAATTGAAAAATTTATAACATCTCTATGCTTTTTTTGCCTAGGTCATCAAGGCGGTAGACGGTGTCGTATTACCCTCGACCGTACCTGTCCCGTACCTGTCCCGTATCTGTCCTGTACCTGTCCCGTACCTGTCCCGTACCGTGCTATCAAAGACGGCTGGCCACAATGCATATTCAAATAGGGCTTTCAAATGCAAGGTGATAACGTGAAGCAACTTCAACTTGGAAGAATTAGTTTGTGTGCGAAGTGTATCGGGGGATGCATGCACGGCGATAGTGCGGGTTCGAATCCCAGGTTATGTCTTTAAAAAAAAAAGGAAATTTTATATAAATTTATAACATCCGTATGCTTTTTTTGTCTAGGTCATCAAGGCAAAAAAGCATAGCGTAGGGCCCTGAGCATCCAAGCTCTCTCGTTGGCTAGGGCAGCGGAGAAATGGATGGAGCATGGCAGCAAAGCACACCCGTTTGTTTCCAATGACCTACCACATGTGACTATGACGTTTGCGCCAGAAACCTTCCACCATGGAAGCGAATGATGACTGCCTTAGAAGGCTCAGAGCTGGCACTCTGCAGCAAAAAGAGAGTGTTGAGCATGGTACAGAACAAATCGTCAACGTCAACCGTACATGGCATGCTAAAACCTTTGTTTGTTTGTTTTGAAACTCGGATGTTTTTTCTTCTTTTTTTTCTCTACAAAAGACACATTATCTCCAGACACTGGGGTGAATAATGGAGTGTGCATGTGGTGGTGGGGCCCATTAAGCTCAGCCAAACAGAGGTCTCGGCTTTATAGCTCCATGGATGCACCAAAGGGGGATCGGGTAGGAGTATTCAAAAGACCACGAACAGCTATTGTACTCTACGGTCGGAGAGCACACATACAAATGTCACCTTACTTCTCACAGTGACTTATATGAAGGCCGAGGCACCGTCCATAGAAGCTTCTCCACTCCATACTCTCAGCAGTGTCCAGAAAGTCGTCCGGAAACTGAGTATGATCAACGATCAGGTCGCCAGTCTTGTCCACTTGCACGACAGCGTAGATGACTTTAAAAAGCTGCGCGTGATCCCTGAGCAGCTCTGAATGTTCTTCAAGTGCTGACACAGCCTGTGCGAAATCTCTATTAGTATTCGATGACGTCAGCAGTGACTTGATGATGTCATCAAGCGCCAATGTACACGTGGAGAATATGGATACACTAGATCGCAGTCCGTTGCTGGCTACACCCGGGTAAGCATTGTAGCGGGAATATTGCTGCAGCAAGTAAGGGATGGTGCTGAGCAACGACCCGATTGCAGCGCACAGCATATGACAAGCGGAAGCCAATCGGGACTTCTGCTCCGGGCTCAGTGCTCCGCCACCGTTGCTGCGCTGTTCCTGCTGGAGACGCTGCACTTGCGCTAGCAGCCCTTGCAACGCTGCGGTTGTGACACGCGGTGGAGCGGAATAGTGACGCGCTGCATTGCGTGACACGGGGCATTGCCAGTGACGGTGTGTCACCAGCGACACAGTGTACTCGCCACTACCTGTGTCCGCTACACTCACCAAGTTCCTGGTACTGACAACAGCTACTGAGCAGGGAGCACCGGTATGCTGTTTCACCACACGGCTACACGGTGCAGGAGGGCAATACGCCGAACTGATACAGCGGGAGCGAGAAAGCAGCAGCTGTGAAGCAACGACAGGTCGAGTGGCGTTACGTGCTACCGTTGATGCCGCCATAACAAGAAGCTAGGCAATAAGAGTCCCTTGCCAGGGCAGGCAGTCCAATTGGTTTCAAAGGTCAGGCAAAATCACAAGTCCTGCAGAGCACGTACACGAACACATGTTCAAAGCGCATGCAAGGCAATTGCAAGCACATACACACACAAAACAGTTGTGCACGGCACATTCAAAGTACACACTGCTCACACATGAAGACAGATAAGCACATATGCGCGCGCACGCGCACACACACACCAACACCGACACACAAGCAAACAGAGAGACACACACACACACAGATGAGACTCTGACCAAACACATGTACTAGTAAAAGACCGCAAGCACAATGTCAATGTGATGCACACCTCCAAGACGGAATGGGCGCTTTCAATAGTACACATACTACTTCTGGTGCTTTGAAGATCCAGAAAACCCCAGTGTAACACCGGCTTTAGCCTACAGGTTTGTACACACTGTGGGTGACATTGCATACAAGTAGATCAGCACATCTAGTACGATTGTTCTTCCACTTCAAGAATCGTCCCTTCGTTTCACAGCACAGAATAGCTGTCTCTCAGCTGGTAATCAGCAGGGACATTCTCTACTTGCGAAGACTGAGTGATTGCCAGCACTCGCCCTTTCCTTCCACAAGCGATGTATAGAATAATAATATCACTGTTCGAGTAATTTTCTTTCAAATCTGAGACCATTGACAGGATCGGAAGGAGAGCTCTACTGCAAGCCAGAAGTCAGGCTGGCGTCAGGCTGGCGTGAAAAGTAACGAATTCAAACCGCTCCTCAACAAAATCATTACAGTTAGCAAAGAAGCTAGTTCCAACCAATCCAAGTAGAGTGACTTTCAGGAACTAATCCAACGTCTTGTTCATTCAAATAAAAGACAGTGCTTTTTTTTGTTGCTTTTTTGCTTTTGTCGTGCTTTGTTACGAGATGTATGTTCCTATGAGTCTTGAAGTGCAACAGCGGGAATTAGTTCACAGGGCTCCAACAACCGGAAATCTGTGTACACCCTCTCGTACAGGAAGCACAGCAAAATTTGACAATGCCGGCGGGAAGTTGTACAGCACCGCCGTAGGAGACTTGAATCCCCCACGTGCACGCACCCATATTTCCTCTGGTCCTATGCAGTACACACACAGTGACACAGGGTAGTACGGGTTCTAGTACTCACCATATGACCCCCGCTCACACCACCTCCAGCCATTTGTCGCAGCCTGTTTTGTCAATGCATGGCACCAGACCACACCCACCTGAGCAATCCAACCCAGGGTCGAGTGCTGCAGGTGCAGAGTGGTCGGAAGTCACACGCCGTAGGGTTACGTCACGCTACGTGAAACCACAGTCCCCTTTGTTTTCCGGCTACTCTCATTGGTTATCATTACCATACGGTCTGAAAACTTGTTCTTCTATTGGTCAGTTTAAAGGTCTACTATCACAACTGAACTAGACGCAATAATTATCATCGAAGAACATTCTAGAATACCTGGGTGATGCACGAATTTTGATAGTGCTCACTTCCGTTAATCGTTTTTCTTTGTAATTTTCCATTCATTTTCTGCTTTAATTCATATTTGCTTTGTTTTCCTAGCTTACTATTGCCGTGGCTGGCTCAACGCCCTTGTCTCAGGGGATTCTGTCTCTGCATTAGCTATGCTTTTCACATGCTATGAGATTGTGTCTAATAATAATAATAATAATAATAATAATAATAATAATAATTCAAACAGTAGTTTGGAGGCGGTGGGAAAAACAGTTTCGTAATACGTATTCGCATGCAACGACGCAAATCCACACAATTCAGTAGACACTTTTTCTATCAAACGTTAGGTCTTGTCCCTGTTGACGCTCGTGGTACTCGTCCTCGTCGTGGCCGTCCTCCAAAATGTGCTGTGCAGTCCGATACTGGAACGCCTTTGTCTGCGTCCAGTGTAGATGTACGCATGCGCGCCTCCGCCTCGACGGGCGGGGAGCTTGGCCCATCTCAGACAAGCGTGAGGAAGCGAGGGAGACCGTCTCGAAAACCACCCAATGTGACACTGGAGCTCATAGATGTTGTGTATAGTGTTTGTCGCCGTATTGTCCCTCTCCGTATTGTCTCTCTCCGATCTATAATTATGCATGCTCGTTGTAAATAAAGGAGTCTTCGTCTTGTCCCACAATGGACTCCTGCGTGGCATCAGGCTAACACAACATGGTGGCAGCTGTGGTTTCTACGACTGTAGGAAAGAACCCTTCGCCTCTAGCCCGCAGTCGAGCATCCCCAGCTCCGGGACAGTCTCGTCATCGTCGTCGTCATGCGTCGTCGTCGTCAGTCTGAGAAGTTTGGTTGTTAGTCCAGTCATGCCCGGCATGCACTACGCTCTACTCGTTTCGTCCTACTCGTGGACTCTACTCTTCAGCAGCAGTCACGCCACTGCTCCTTGTCTCTGCTGACTGTCGTCCCTGTCCAGCCAGTTCGTCGTCCTCGCATGCTCAATCTCTCGGCAGCTCCGATAAGCCTGCTGTCGAGCACTGATCGCCATGTCCCCATGCTGTGCTCAACCCATCCGTCTGGGAGAGAGAGAGGTGTCACGGTACGAGCGCTCTGGATCGACCAAGTCTGGCTCGTGACGGAAGGAACTGCCAGGCGTATGCCGGTTAGCTGTAGCTCATTCCCTCCGCTTTGTGTTTCATTTGTTTTCGTTTGACCTTGTGTGCTTCTTTATTCTTTCTCTTCACTCTCGATCTCCTCATTTTTTTGCCTCGAACTTCTTCAGTTTTCAAAAAAACAAAATTCTCTTCTGTGCAGATGCTAGGCATGCCCTGCTACTGACAGTACTGTACTGGTGTACGTGTAGGCCCTAGCTCGTCTCTCAATCTTGTTTTTCATGTTCCTCTTTCTTCCCGGAAAAGGGATATATTGTGTAGATTCATCTTTTCTCTCTCTTCCCCTCCTTTCCCGGAAAGGGAGATGTTGTGTATAGTGTTTGTCGCCGTATTGTCCCTCTCCGTATTGTCTCTCTCTGATCAATTATTATGCATGCTCGTTGTAAATAAAGGAGTCTTCGTCTTGTCCCACAATGGACTCCTGCGTGGCATCAGGCTAACACAACAATAGACACCGGAAGAGTTACCAGAAGCAAGGTGAAGAGACGGAGTACTGGGGATCTGAATACGTCGATAATGGAAGTGACAACAACGATCAACAAGAGGAAACGAGGAAGACCAAGAAGTGACACGAAAACGGCCATGAAATCAACAAAAACGGACATGAAATCAACGGACGTTGGAGGTGTGGACCGGAACAACCAACCAAACAAGCCTAACGGAAGAGAACAACGGCAGGCGTCGAAGGTGACAGAGCTAAGTGATCGGACATCGTCCATCAAGCGTCATTTGTCGGGCAGTGCTAGTTGTCGTAAGTTGTATAGTGATGATATCTTTTCGATTTTGACTCGTGGAAGGTCTAAGTTACATCTTGCTGTGTTAGAAGCTCTGTATATTCGTAAACTAGATCCAGAACTATGTGTACAGAAGGAGAACAGTGTGTTATCGTTGCAGTTGTTTGGTGTCACACCTCGTGAAAGTGTGACAAGTGTTCCCTGATGTGTTCAACGTGTTTGTCTACAACTTGCAGCTGTTTGTTTTTGAGTTTTTAACACTTTAATCATTTTTAACACCTATGTTGAAGTGTTGACTTTTTCTTTCTTTCACTCTCTATATAGTTATGTGTTTTTCTAATTTCCAACATTCCCTGTACTATCCTGAAGAGAAGGGAAAGAAAACGTTTGATAGGAAAAGTGTCTACTGAATTGTGTGGATTTGCGTCGTTGCATGCGAATACGTATTACGAAATAATAAT